AAAATTAAATACATTTTAAACTTGTTTGAATCATATATGTAGATTTGGTGGATTAAATTTTGTGGAAAGATTTTAGGAATTATATAGATTTTGTACTTAAATGTGGTTTCAATATTAAGTATGATATAGGTAGATTTTGTGGTTTAAATTTTGTGGAAAGATTTTAAGAATTATGTAGATTTTGTAGTTAAGGTGGTTTCAATATTAACTCGATAACATTGCTAGTTTAGGAGAGATTTAAGGGAATGTAGGAGACATAAAACGTGGATGGGTAAAATGGAGAAAGACTGCAAGGGCAATATGGACATTTCATGAAATGTGTAGAGGGATAAATGAGGAATTATACACCTCTCCTAAAATGTAGGAAACCAACTTTGGCCATGTCATGCAATTTAGAAAAACTTTGGCCATTTTGCTTAACGATAATTACTCGATAATTTCCACAAGCACAAATCCCGCTTTTTATAGGCCCAAAAATTCTTTCACAAAATAATCCATCTTTTTCAGGTTTATTGGTTTTGTAATGAAAAGTATARGGTTTTGTTACCTCTCCAACTATCTCGTCATTAGGTAGGGTTTTATTGGCCCAAGTACTTATTTGTTGAGGAGAAACTAATCCAATTCGGAGTTGTTGATGTTTATACCGATCGATCGTAGAAAAAATTTTCTGATTCATTTTGATTAAGCTTTCTTGTGAGTAGTCATTCCTGAGGATTTCTCATTTTGTTTTTGTTCTCTAATCTTATTTTCTAAATTTTTTGTTCTTTTACTTTTATAAATGCTATTTCGGTAGTTTAGGTTATTAGGTCATAGGTTATTGTATTGTACTTTTAAAAAGTTTTTAGTTATTTTAACTGTAGTTTCTTTTAATCCTCGTGTTTCAAAATATTATTGTACTTTTTAAAATTACTATTTTTGTTTATATTTTTAAAAATTTAACACAAATTCTATATATAATTGAAATTCTTTAATATAAAATCATGATTAGATTTCAAAAAATATATTGAATTTAGTGCGAATTTAAAATTACAATAAAATAAATGAGATTAAAAGTCAAATTAAAAGACTATAATAGTTACTTTTCAAAATTACAGAAGCTAAATTGAATCAAAAGCATAAAGATTAAAATGAACATTTTAAAAGTAGAGGAAGGAAAAAAATAACTTAAGCTAAAAATACAAGGACTAAAATAGTATTTTAACTTTTCTTTTTTTATTATATATTTTCTCCTTCTTCTTTCTTTTTTTTTCCCTCAAATTTCAATTTTTGTTTTACCCTACGTATTTTCCAATCTCTACGACTTCAAGACTTTTACTTAGACCATAAGTAGGCTTGGGTTTATACAATATTAAGCTTAATGTTTTGTTCAACAATTTGATTCTGACTCATTTGTCAAAACAACGAGCATAGCTCATTCGATCTCCCACCTCACGTGTTGGTATTCAAGGAAAAAAATAATTAATTCGACTAACTTATGTTACTCTAGTTGAATTAAAAATAGAGGTAAAATCTAGTCTCATCCAACCCATTTATCTAGGATCATCCAACTCAGATTTATACATGTCATAAATATATGAGTCCATTTTATAATTTCTTTTAATTTAAAGATAATAGCAATGTACAAATTTGTAATTGATAAAAAAAATTCGCTCAAACCTTCCTACGCTTATTTATTATACTAAAAAAATCAAATATATGTTATATTTGTTTATAATTTATAATTTTTTAAGTAAATAGGCCAAATTCTTTATTTAATGTAGGAAATACTAATTGTTTTATTATTAATATTATTGATATGGTCACCAATTTAATTATGCTCACGTTGGCTAAATTATTTAAGACGCGTTTGATAACATTTCGTTTACATTTTTTATTCTTTTAAAACTAGAGATAAAAAAACATAGGATCTGATTCATAATTTTTGGTAACAATTGAACAAATGCATATAAATATAACAAAAAAAATATCAAACTTGACGACGTTCATTAATTTACACTGAACCAATATTGTAATTTTCACCTATATTTCAAATTTTACCATTTGATAGATTCTCTTTTGAAAAATTATCGAAAACAACATAATTTTGGTATAAAATAATTATAAGATTTAGACAAAAAAAAAACAACAAAAACAAAATTTGGTTTTTGCAATTTAAATTTATAAATTTTGTAAAATTATTTAACAACTATTAATCAAATTTAATTGGACAAACTTGATTTTTATTAAATTAGTGAGTTTTTCTAGATTTTTTTATTAAATAGAATTATAAAAATTATAACATTTATCTACATTTAGTGTTACGAATTTAAATTTATTAATAAAATACATTCCATGATATAATTTAATTAAACATATTTTGTCAAAAAAATTAAGGGCACATTATTAAAAAAGTACATTCCAATGATATAATTTAACTAAACATATTTTGTCAAAAAAATTAAGAGCACATTTGGAAATATTCTCACTTACTATTTCCCATTTCCGAACTAGAAACAAAATACGTTTCGTAACAATTTCTATTTATATATATATGTTTGATAACTATTTCATGTTTCTTATTTTTATTTTTAGTTTGTCTTTTCATACAATAAGGAAGGTTGGAATTCAAACCGACACCCTCTCGTCAAAAATATTTGTCATAACTTTTATTTTTATTTTTAATTAAAATAAAATTTAATAGAGGTTTCTTTGATATAAAAGTCTAAATTATTAGCTTTATATACAAAATATTTATAATTTTAAAAATAGAAAATATTTATCAAAAAATATATAAAATATAAAAAGACCAATAAAAAACATAATTTAATCAAACAAAAAACAAAAAAAGGGAAATATAAATATGAAAAACAAAATTATGTAAAATATATAAAAGAAAATTAATATTTTTAATTTATTTTTTAAAAAAAATAGAAAATATTTTATCAGTAAAAATTATAAAATATAAAAAAACCAAGAAAATATAAAATATCAAAAACAAAAAACAAAAAAAGGGAAATATAGATATGAAAAAACAAAATATGTAAAATATATAAAAGAAATGCCAACTGCGAAACCGAGAAGTAACTTCCTTAATTAATATTTTAAATTTATTTTTAAATTTTTAAAAAATAGAAAATATTTTATCAATAAAAAATATCAGATATAAAAAAACCAATAAAAACAAAAAAGGGAAATATAAATATGAAAAAACAAAATAGGTAAAATATATAAAAGAAATGCCAATTGCGAAACCGAGAAGGAACTTCCTTAATTAATATTTTTAATTTATTTTTAAATTTTTAAAAAATATAAAATATTTTATCAAAAAAATATATATAAAATATGAAAACAAAAAAGCAAAAAATATATATATAATATAAAAAAGAATTAGTATTTGTTAATCAGATAACCCTAAACTCAACAAGTATTTTGTTAATCAGATAACCCTAAACTCAACAAGTTCAAATTTTAACCCTTATATGCTATATACNTACTTTTTCTAATTTTCATAATTTTCTTTCAGAATAAAAAAAATCCTAACAATTTAATCCCTTTAATATGCAACAATTTATTTATTTAAATAAAATATATAGCAATCTATCATCTATACTTAAAATTTTTTAAGGATTTATACCCTACCTTTAAACATCCAATTAAGGATTAAATTAATCACCCACATGCTTTGTTTTACATCCCATTATTCTCTTCCCTAAAAATGCATCTCATTGTTTTACCTCTCACTGTTCTCTTCCCTAAAAATGCATCTCAGCTTTCTAAGCTTCTTGAACGCCTATGAACAATATGAGCTCGAGATTACCTTTGTAACCCCGCAACGAGCACAACCCTAACCCTCCTGCACTGCCACCGGTGAGGCCAGATTGTTAACCAGGGAAACAATTCTAATTACAATTATAGGAAAGAATGAGGATGCAGAAAGGTAATCCTCTTCAACTCAATCTCTTACTGATTGCACAGAATCAGTATAAAACAATCTTTGAGAACACTGCTCCCTAGATCTATATCAAACTTATCCCAAATCTTAGAAGAACAGCCAAATAATGATTGTTTTATCATACACATACAAACAAACTGGTATATTTTACATCAAATACAGATTTCACAAACAATAAAAAGAGGATAAGTATAAGGGATTGAGCAAATTCATATTACGATACAAAGAATTGTAAAATTAATGGGCAACTCCAGGTAGGAACTTTGAGCCCAGAATAGAGAAAGGAGGCATTTAGATTCTTGGATTTTGATAGAGACCACTACTACATTGATCCTTGGACAGAACTGCCACTAGCCTGATCACCAAATGTTTTATCTACGATCCCACAGAAAAACCAATGGCTTTCAGGACTAGTAAAGACCATTTCTTTCGAAGAATTAAATTTTCAATCATCAATTCTTTTCAAACCCTTGAAAATTTCAAGCAAGCCATACGTTTGTTTCAAATACAAGAATCAGAAGTCTCAAAACCATATGAGGACAACACAGAAACAAAAGGTTGCCCTGATAACGATTTCTTTCCTGTTTTCAAAATAATTGAGCGATTCTAAATAGTCTTCGAACATGTTCTCAAAAAATGAAAAAACTAAACAAATAAGTTATTTATAAACAAATGTAAATTTGAAAAGATATATAAAAATAAAAACGTTATCAAGTAGGTCTACAAAATGCAACAAGGTCAGTCCATATCAGTTCACATTTTGGACCTTGGCCTGGCAGTCAAATATACACAAACAGAAAGCCATCCCTTGCAGTCACCACGAAAAATGTCATTTATATTACATAACATCAAACTCGAAGTAAAGTAAATCTGACAATTTTAAAAATAGATTACAATACTTGGATTAGAGTATCAACTATAATGAAACAGCCAAAACATATGAACATGCACACCTACAGAATGACACTATATATTTGATATCACAAACCAGCAAGCTCCATAGCAAATATCATATCATTTTCCACTAAACCTTCTGCATCAACAAAGAGATCAAACTAATCCTAAAGCTTAAATTACCTAAGATGATTAACCAAAATGCAAAGTGCTAGCTGCCTTAGTTCAAAAATTCGTAAGGAGGATAGTATACTGGATTACTCGTTTCATAGCGGCGTGGTCTAGAATGGTTAAAGCTATCCAAAGTTGTCCCACAATATCGCTGACTGTATTCGTTATTGTAGTTACCCATATGTGATCCATACCCATTAGATTGGTTAACTAAACCAGGGTAAAGAGGCGCTGAATAAAAGAAAAAAAAGAATTTGTTGAACTAGTGTGGGAAAACCCGTGAAAGAAAAAATACAAAATTTTATAGCACAACTAACAAAGAAAATACAAAAACAGAGGAGAATATGGAAAATCACCTTCTAGATGGTTCTCGGGGTACGCTGAAAACCTGCATGATGTTGACAAGCGATTGGAATACTGAGATATTTCACTAGAGTAACCCGGAACAAACTGCGATCTCAATTTATGAGATATATTTGATGATGAATTGATTGCGATACTACTAGGTGAAGGCTTGTCTTGCCCAGATACCTGTTTGCAAGAAGTAAGAAACCATGCCTCATTCCCATAACTTGATAACTTTCCAAGTACCACACTCAAGATGATTGCACAATCATCTGATTACAAAATTGAAAGTATGAGACCGCACAGCCAAGAATCATATATCAAAGGAAATTAACTATACTAAATATATAAATGGAAAAGGAAACATCATATTTCAATGTGCCCCTTCATTGTTTATATTGTTCCTAATTAGTCCAAATCAGAATTAAAACATATCACCTTTTATAAAACTCATAGATATAATTTAATACATGCAATTATATATTTAAGCTTATTTTGGTTTTCTATTAACATTTTAAAATCTACCTTCATTCCCAAATTTAGATAAGTTCTTTGGTTTGCAACGAACTCATTTAAAGTCATGGTGATGAATAAATTATAGTTTCCATTTATTTTTGTTTATCAATAATCTTTTAATGCTTGTGTTCATCCTCTAAAATTGGAAAGCCTTCTGTCTTTCCAACCAAGTCATTTAAAATTGTGTGGTGATATAAACTAAACTAGATTAAATTTCCATTACATGATAAATAATGACATATCCGTGAATATATCTTCCTTCCTCCCATCAATTCATTATGATGAGAAGGTTGCTTCTAAGTGCAAACTAGATTCGTAAAGAATAAAGAACAAAATGATATAATTTTAATGTGATTGCTAAAACTGTAAAAAGTTTATGAATTATATACTACRTAAGGCATATGAAGGAGAACCAAGTTCTATTACGAAGATAACTTCATTAATTAATATATAGTTAGTACATAAAAACTTTAATTATAAATCAAATCATATGTTATTCTCTTAAGACTTTTTAATCTTTGACATTTAATTAAATTTCTCAAATCTTCTTTTTCCATGAAGTCAAATGAAACAAAAATTTCAAATGCAACACACGTGTTAATAGACTAGTACTATCTAAAGTGAGTTATTGATCAAAATGCAATGGTTGTCAAACTAGAGAAGATGTGTGTATCACCTAAATACTGAACCATGAAGTAAATATTAAAAAAAATAGCTAGAAAACAGATTTGATAATACATTTGAAAAAAACAAAGATACAAGGAAAGGAAACCCTGAAGTTGCATTGAGAAAGAAATAATAAGGACATACTGCAAACTTCAGGATCCGGTTATGAAGAATCACGAGACCGGAGAAAAGCTTAACAGCATAGTTGGCAATCTCCTCGCTTTCATATTCTGCAAAAGCATAACCCTTGGGTTTGCCAGATTCCTTGTCCCGAGGAATGTGCAAGTCCACTAACCGCCCAGCTTGGATTAGAATGTCATACAGAACCCTATCACTTACCCTATCATCCAAATTACCTACAGAAAGTGAAAGTCCCCCGAAAGAATAAGCTCACAGAACATCCATGACAGCATAAGTAGAAACGATTTTTTATCATATTTAAGAAATATTAGAGAACAAAATGGCATTAACATTAAAATGGGGAAAAAAACTAACCCAGATGCAGATCAACTATGTGGGGAAAAGTGGAAATCAAGGTTGTACAAGTTAAGCAAAAACGAAGATAATCTAAGAGATGTAACGGAAACAAAAACAAAATAAGGTCAACTTCCAACCCCTTCACCTCAAAAGCAGCAAATCAAGCATCTTAACAGGAACTAAAGTATTTACACGAGAGGATACGTTGGAGAAAGAAATCCAGAATACAATCCAGCCCTTTCTGTTCAATCACTGAACGCGCAAACTGAGAGAATCAATAAACCCGTCCTACACATCAATTACTAAAGCATAATAAATGCAAAGGTAATGTATCTCCAAGTTTTTTTAGTGACTTCAAATTGTAACGTAATTCCGTTTGTAATAACTTGAAACAGTAGTTTTCACTTCAAAAGCTTTCCAAACTAAAATGGTCGAATTTTGGAGGATTTCATACCATTTTTAGGTAAGTTACTAATTTAATTATCTTCAAATCTTTCTAATTTCAAACAAGAGGATTTAAAACATCATTCCTCGGACTTTCTTGAACTTTCTTGATTCCAAACAGAGGGTAACGCCAAAACAGAAACATAAATCTTAGAATATTGACAACCCAAAAGCATAATTTTCGTATGGAACTCGACGTAAGTACAACCACGAAGCTTAATCCTGGATAATTTCCAGCGATTTCTTTTGCAAACGGAAGCATCAGTATCCTCGTAAAAGGAAAATGAAAAAGTTCAAACAACGAAGAAAAGCGAAATAGGGAAGTGAAGACATGAATTAAGTTGAAGAATAAAGATAACAACGAACAAACCTACGTAAACGGTGCAGCAATTTGATCTTCCCGACATGATTGAGATGCAAAACCCTAGCACCGAAGATTTTCAGAAAACAGAAGGAAAACCAAACGATAAAAGAAAGAGAAACGACGGCGAAGTCACTCAGCCAATTGACCTCAATTTAACGACTTTTGATCTGCCACGTCGATTGCGATTTTCTTATTGCCGTCTTTTTTTGACCGTACACGTGGAGCGCTTGAAAATTTTATGATTTTACCAGTTTTTCTTTTTATTAGGATTTTTCAACTGGGAAGGAACCTTCTAGTAGTAATAGGTTTATTAAAGAATCAGAAAACAGATTTTATTTTTAGAAAAGAGAAAAAAAAAACTTTTTTTCCTTTTTCTTTGTTAATTTATTGACGTAAGTTGGTCTATATTTCAAATTAGAATTACATACCAACTTCTTTTTTAATAATTTTTTTATAGAGTTAGAATTACATTATATATATAGACCAACAGATCAAAAGAATTTATAACTTGAAATTTCAAATTCTGAATCTGAAAACACTACGTAAAAAAATCGTTTTTAGAATTTCTATCGTAAATAGTTTTCAAAAATGAATCTTCAAGATCCTGCCAACCGTATTCGCTCAATCCATTCAATAAAAACAAAAAACAAAATCCAAGTTTACAACCAAACATGCCCTTAAAAATTCTTAATTTGATTTGTCATTTCATTTGGTCACCTACGCTTTTTTCGACAGTAATGGTATGATATGACAAGAGAATCTACAGATATTTCTTTTAGTATAATCTATGGGAGTGGAAGATTGAACTTACAACTTTTTGGTTGGAAATATACGTCAATTGCTGAGTTACTTTCGGCACAACCTACCCATACTTAGACAAAAGAAAAAAAGGAAAAAAAAAGAGTAATTTTTCATCCACTCCTTTTGGGGATATTCACAGAGGGCGGCGGCGGTGGAGGAGCGTGGAATTAGGATTTGCCGGAGAAAAAGGCGAGGGGACCGACGAGGGCGGCGTTGATGTATGTGGCAGGCTCAGAGTGGCTGTAATCGGAGCGGTCGTCGGAAAAGCCGTCGCTCTGGTTGGGGCCGCCGACGACGGCGCCGATCAAGAGGTTGGGGTTGGGGTTGTAGGAATAGAAGAAGGGCTGGAAACCGCCGTCGCAACCGATGGTCTGAGGGTGGCTGGCCTTTGACGGCAGCGAAGATCCTCTATGGTGAATTCTTCTTGGAAAATGTGGTCCGTACCCCACCATGTATGACATCTTTAATGGGTTCTCTCCCAATATATAATCAACCTAAATTTCATAATAAAAAATATATATATATTTAGCTAACTCAAGACATATATCTCAAACAAGAGGTTATTATGAGTTCGATCCTTGTCTTATTATACTAAAAAAAATATTATTTAGTTTAGTTCTTATGATTTTATAAATTTTAATCCAAAACAACTTCAAATCTGATCTCTTTCCCATATTCTAATATTTATTCTTTATAATTTGAGCTTAATTTCAAAAAAAAAATTAACATGGACTTAATTCAATGTAATCTCTATAATTGTTAGATTTTCAATTTTAAGGTACTTTAATTTGATTCCTATAATTTTGTAACTATAAAACTTTATCATCTGTCTCTCATGTTAATAAAAAGAAAGATTACTTAGTTTGAATTTGATGATTTCTATTTAGTTAATTATGTTAGGTTACCATGTTTAAAAATAATAATAATAATAATAATATGAAACATAAAGAAATATGTGGACTTTCTTGGTGATTAAAACAAAATTTAAAAACAATGGTGGATTTTAACAAAATTATAGAGACCAAATTGAAAATAAGTTAAACGATATAGATTGAATTGAAGTTTTTTTAATTGCTGGGATCAAGTTAAAAATAAGTCTAAACCATGAGAATTAAATTGGAATTATAGACAAACAATAAGGACTATTTATAATTTATTTAGTATGACAAAATTTATAAGCTATGTTACTTTACAAAATATATATATTATAATAATAATAATAATAATAGCTCTATTAAGGTTTACTATTTGAGTTTTGGATGAATAATGTAAAATTATAAAAACAGACTAAAATAATTTTTATATAAAAATTTAGCACTAAAATATAATATTTTAAAATTGAGAAATTTAAAAATTTAATCGCCAAAACCAAATAAATGCGAAATTTGACAGAAAAACAGGATTTAAAATTTGTTAAGAAGGTGACAATACGACGGCGTTTTGGCGTCACCTGTTTTTTGGCAAGATTCTTGAGGGATGCCGGAGTGACAAGGAGGCTGCCGCAGTTAAAAGAGTGTTTGGCGGCGGACATGTACTTGGAATAAGTGGCGAGTAAAAACGTTATGGATGTCACATATTGGAGGTTACTTTCTGGCAGCTTGAACATCAATCCCCCTGCACAAAATTCAATCAAACATCGTCTCGAGATATGATTGAGCAATGTTTAGGTCGACTTTTAAGCATTATAATTTGATTGCACACCTTGAGTGTAGTGCGTGCTAGAGTATGGAGAATTGGGCAAAATTCGACACATAAAGGCTTCCGCTTCTTGTTTGTACGAATCGAAATTCTTGTCTTTATTTAACAACGCCCGCTACACACACAGTATACAAAAACAATATTAAAAATGATAATATATATATATTATATTTATCTTTCTAAAAAAATATTACATTGCAAATAAGAAGAGATAATTAGATTAATTAATAGTAAGTTTCGTCAATGCACTACTTTCAACGTTATGCCTTGTAGGTCTATATGTTTTTTTTTTCCTTTTTCGGTAAAATATCCTTTTGGTCCTTGAGGTTTAGACTTAGTTCTACTCAACCGTTGAATTTAAAAAACCATCATTTTTTATCCTGGGTTTAAATTTAGTTTCAATTTAGTCCTTGAAGTTTCAAAAGAAACATGTTTAGTCCTTAAGGTTTGAATTTAGTTTTTAATTAACCCGTGAAGTTTGAATTTAATTTCTAATTAAGTCTCTGAGTTAAGTTGACCGTTAGTTAACCTAACGAGATTCTCTCATTCTTTTTTGCCTAAGTAACAACGTCTAGTCAACATATATTAATTGTGACAACAACATTCCGTTAACTCAACTAATAGTCGACTAACTCAGGGATCAATTAGAAACCAAACTCAATCATCAAGATTAATTCAAAACTAAATTCAAACTTCAAAGACCAAATATGTTACTTTTGAAACTTAAGTACCAAATAGAAATTAAATTTGAATCTTAATGACCAAAAGTGATAGTTATTTAAACTCATGGACCAAATAGAAATCAAGTTATTTAAACTCATGGACCAAATAGAAATCAAGTCCAAACTTTAGGGACCAAAAATGTATTTTACGTTTTTTTTCCTTTTATATACGTGAGTGTCCAGGTATCTTACACGCATCTCAACTCATCTCACAAGACAACCACATACCCTACTACATTTGATTTGTCAAATGAAACTCATAGTTTATTAAACTCTAACCAGGTGGTCACCTTAGTTTTCAAGATCGTATCTTATAGATGAATATAATTCAAAAGATTACTAACGAGTCTTTTAATTTTCAATTTCGTGTCTTTAAATTTTCTAAAATTCATGAATCTACGACAAGTAAAAGTAAGATGTACGAACATCTGAAAAGTGATTCGGGAAAAGAGAAGAGAAGAGAGAATGTTATTACCCTAGACAAAAGAACATGAGCACCAGCATACTTGTTGTCCCAACTGAAGATGTCAGTCACATCATCACCTCCCAATGACTTCAACAAATTGAAGTATTGAACATCATTTGTTGCTCTTAGAAGCCATGCTGCTCCCCACACCAACTCATCCTAAATTAATCAACATAATTTTCATATCATAAATAAATATCTCATCATTTCCCGTGACAAAAAACTAAATCTCCAAAATACAAAATTGTTTTCTTCATTTCTATACTTATAAGAAAAGTATTTTAGCACTCGCAGGTCAATATCTATCTTATATTAATTACTATTAATTTTTTTTGACATGTAGGAGAGAGGATTGCCAAAAGAAAAACAAGATGCTGAGTAATATCATAGTCAGCTAACTTGAGTTTACTTCAATGGGTTAAAACATCCCTCCTTTATATGAGTTCGAATCTCCTCACCCCACGTAATGTTGTTGTATTAAAAGAACAATAATAATATGGCTGAAATAAGATTGAAACCAATTTTTTAAAATCAAAAAGCGAAAATACATGAAAGAAAGAAAAAAAAGCATTCCAAACAAATAATGCTTTTAATGTATATTGATCAAAATCTATCTCTTACTAACTAGTATTTAAAGAAAACACATAAAAAATTCATAAAGATAAGTACTATTCTCATTTTTATGAAAACGAAACTTGATTAATGTCTTTTTCCTTCTATATCATCGAATGTCACTTTTAAATTTCAAAATTTATGATATCTCAACAATATCTCTTGCAAGATTCAAAACCCTTTTTTTTATGTCAAATTGAGTCTAGTTCAACTAGTTTAAGTCTTTTATCTCCAATCAAAGTTGTGATTTTGAATCACTACCCCGTATTGTACTAAAAAACAATTTATTTATTAAAAAAAAAACCAAACTAAAGAGTTAAAATAATGTAAAAAAAAAAGGAAATGGGCCTATTTGGGCCCAACAAGATCTTAAAATTGTTACCTTGTATCCAGAATAAGAGCAATAAAATGGGCAAACGGCAGAACCAAGCGAATCGCTATAAGACCCTTTATACTGAACGGCAAACTGCAGCACCTTCTTCGCCGTCGCCAGCAGCAAATTCGAGTATTTCCGGTCAACCTTCCGGAAAACCATGGAGGCGGCGGCGAGCGCGGCGGCGGTCTCTCCGGCGACGTCCGATCCCGGGTTGGCGGCGGAGACCGAGTAGACGGTTCGAACCGTGTCCATGTCCTCCGGCCGCTCCCAGCACCTGTGGTCCACGTTGGGGTCGCCGACGCCGACGTAGACCTTGCCGGGGGTGGCGGTGGCGCACTTCAGAAGATAGTCGGTGGCCCAGCGGATGGCGGCGCGTGTGTTCGCCAGCTGCGTCCCCATACGCGCCCCGTGCTCGAGTGCGCCCCACGACAGCATGGTCGTCGTGAAAGCCATCGGAAAGTTGAATTTTACGTTGTCGCCGGCGTCGTAGTAGCCGCCGGTCAAATCCACCTGCGACCAAGCAAAACCATTGGTTTGACTAAAAACTAAAACCTTGCAACTCTCTTTTTGGTAAAGTTGATATCAATAGTTTTTTTTTTTATTTTATTTTATAATTTTTAAGAAATAAGTGTTTAGTAATTTACATTTGACATTTCTAAATTTTGTACAAATTTAATTTCTTTCTTTACTTTCCATTTCAATAAAATAATAATAAAACATAATTCTAAATTAAAAATTTTAAAAGGAAAGTAATTAAATTTCTTTATTCGAATGCTAGCGGAAAAGGAAAAGCACAAGAAAAACTTCATGCTATTAATCTATTAATAAAAATTAACATACGACAAAGTTAAATAAATAATCGCATTAAAATCAATTCAACCGTTTTCATTAGAAAAAATATGAGTTGAAATCACAATTCATGTGTTATTTATATAAATTTCTTTTGAAAGTGCATATAAATATTATTTTATTTTAAAATTAATGTTCATGTAAACGTTTTATTTTTTAATTTACAATTTGAGAAAAAATTAAAAGAAAAATGGTTACCTATGGTAGTTTTGCTTCTTTTAAATTGAAAAGACAAAAAATTTTGGTTTTTATTTTATTTGAAAAATGCAAGAAATAAGAAAGATAAGGTGGAAAAACCGACTCTTTGACATTGAACTTAGTTCATCAGTAATTTGACATTTTTCTCTGACTAATAGATTATAAGTTTGAATTCTCCCTACATGTTGCATTAAAAAAATGTTAAAGATATTTTGATAATACATACATGAGCAAGTTCGCCATCATAGAGGCCAGAGTTCGACCTCCAAGAAATCTGTAGGCCAGCAGGGATCCTTCCGGAGCGCTGTCCTTGGAAGAACAATATCGACTTAGCCAAGGCGTCTCGATAATTCGGATCACCCCGAGCTCCATCCATCCATGAAAATGGAAACAAGAGCAAGGAGAATAAGAAGAAGAGAGTCGAAGCCTTTGGGGTGGCAGCCATGGCAAGAACAACTCAAGAAAAACAAAAATAGAGAGATTCTTTTAGTTTGGATTGAAAATGATGGAGAAAGAACATTGGTTTATATAGAGAGAAAATTAAGTGAGATATTCAGTTGCATGTTTATTCATTAGCGCAATCTTAGGCTTTTGTTTTGCAAGTCAATAAGAATTCTGATTTTTAATACTCTTCAAAATTTTCATGCTTCTTTCTAAATTAAACCTTCCCTTTTCTTTTTCCTTTCTCTTGTGCCAAAAATCATGTCTCTTACTTTAGGGTTTTTGAATGCTTAAAAAGCTACCCATGCATAAATAAATTATCCAAAAAAAAAAAAAACTTAAAGTCCCATTTAGTTGACCTATCTTAGTTTCTTTAGGGGTAGAAGTCGTCTATCGTCTCGTCTAGTAAATTAGATTGTGTAAGACAAGAAAAAGAATATTGAGTTAGAATAGGTAAATGAAAGAGAGATTAAGACCACAAATTTATATTGTTCTTCGTGCCTACAAAAAAATTATGAAGTAAATTGCTAACTTGAGCATGACTCAATTAATTAAGACACTTATCTCGAACTAAATTAAAAAATCGTGAATTTAAATCCACACCTCCACATATTGTACTGAAAAGCTTGTGAAGTAAATTGGACATTTATAGATCTACGAGAATACTAACTAACCACGACGAGATAATGAGATGATATAACCATATAAATAACAAATTTTAATCAACATATTAATATCCTTCTTTAAAGTTCGTAAAAACATATCATTTACATAAAATGAGACGAGGAACCAAGTATTTTCCTCTTTTGATCTATTCGAACAATGGACGTCATAACTTCAAATGTAGTCCTTTGTAGTATTTAATAAAGTTTTATTTTACCTCTAAAAAATTACCTTAATCTATCAACAATAATCAAGATCATTATTTTGTATGTTTTAATTTAAAATTTCATTGTCAAATCAGGTTAACCTACTTATCTCTGATAAAAATTGATTTCGAATCAACACTCTACATATTAGTACTCTAAAAATTGAAAAAGAAAAAGAAGGAAAATATATATATATATATAAATATATATTCAAAATTGAATTGGGTGAATATTTATGGGGTGAATCAACGAGCAATTTAATAATTAAATTGAAAAAAAAAAGATTTTACTGGTGATTGAACAAATCATGGACACTCATGTAGAGGAAGCACTTTTTTAAACGCTTGGCTCAAAGTGCTCGGCTTGTGCCCGACCATTTCATACCCAAAAAATAGGGCCTCGTTTACGAGGAAAGCAAATTCCATGATTTTTGGTTTCATGTTCTCTAAACTAAATTATGTTGGTTTTAGTCACGTTCTAAATAACCATCGATATGTCGACGTTTCTATCGACATATTCATATTTCTGTGGATTCGACATCGATATGAAGGGTGAATCGACATTCTATCATAGTACAAGAAAATCGATAAAATATGTGCAATGGAAATATTTTTCTTTGTCTGCAACCTTAGCCTTGGATTCTTTGGCAGCGACAACAGCGGAGTCAGGTTTAGGCCACTTACCAGCAACCTTCTTCTTCTTGAAAGTCTTGCTTCCAGAAGAAGATGGCGTAGACTTGGTTCTAGAGAACCAACCTCGGTGGAACCTTTTTGAGGTGATAACATTTGCCTCCCCTTCCTGTCCCTTTTTTTTTTCATAAGAGACTGATAGGTCTGCAGCTCGTTTAAGAGCATGGTAAGAGTGTACTCCAGCTTATTTATGACCGCATTATTGCTGTGGAATTGCAGGAAACTCTTTAGAAGAGATTCCAGAATGAAGCTAACCTGACTCTACTCGTCTTTGACGGCCCCGTTCATCTCTGTCACATTAGAGTGGACCGTCAGATTGAGAACGTATTCTCGCACTGATGAGCCCTCATTCATGCAGGAGTTATAGATGAACTTAAGGGCTTCATATCGAGCCTGTGAGGACGGTTTTCCAAACATGCTCTGTAGCGAGTCCATGATCTCCTTGGTGGTGACCATATTCTCGTGCTTCTTAGCAAGCACATCAGATATTCTCGTCAAGATGTAGAGACCTTGGCCTTATAACTGGCGTTGATCCACCGGTCATAAGCGTTGTACACCGCCACATTGGCGTTAGGCGTAGAAGCTTGAGAACAATCCCTCTTGCAAGACGAACCTTAGATCATCTATTACTAGTATAGTGTTTAGGTGTGATTTCTATTGTTCGTAGTTATTGCCGTTATGTTTATTTTTAACTAATTTAGAAATAGAAAAATGATTATTTATAATTTAAATATTTTTTACGATTTTTTAATTTTTCTAACTTTTACATAATTATCCATTGACATTGACATTTTATCGATATTTTTATGAAATTGAGACCTCAATATATTTCCATCAATCTCGACTTTTTGTAGTTTCTTTTTTCACATATATTTTTTTAACATTCTTTATTAATTTGGATTCTTGTAGTTAATTTTTCATATTTATTTAATATGGAAATGGTAGGCTGCCTGTACACAGACTTGATATATACATGTATGACGATGCATTTGCCTAAATTAAATAACAAAGACATTGTATAAAGTTTAGCTACTCAAATAAGACTCAAATGTATATTTTGGGTCCCTAAATTTTAAAATGATCTCTATTTTTCCTTTTTTAGCCAAAACAAAATAAAATCATCTCTTAAATCTTGTATGCAAAAATTGATTCTCTTTTAACATTTATTTTAGATTAGTACCGAAATTATAAATTTAGATTTATACAGATGGTGTGTATTTAGTTCTTATATTTTAAAAATATTATAATATTTGACTGCATATATTCTCAACTTCACACTTGTTGAATTATATATATATATATATATATAAATATCCACATAATACTTAAATCGGTTACTAACTTTACTATGTCATGCAAGTGTAGAAAAAACTAATTACATGAACCTATTAGACATAAAATTGGARGTCCATAAATTTATTAAGAACTTTTACTACTGTCGGCCTAAATAATATAGTTCAACAACTATTTCCAACTAAAAGGTCATAAATTCGAATTGTTGGAGGTGATTTTCCAGTTCACACGTGACATGCGATAATTGAATCATATGAGGCGCACGTGTCTTATACTGCCAAGGCACAAATTTCATCACCTTGGCCATGATTCCTCTGACCGAGCTGATCACTTTGATGGCCGAACCGACCAAGTCATATTAAGTATTGTTCTCAAGTCATTGGTTGACTCACTTGCTTCACTTCGGCTTAGTCTCTTCTCCAACAAACTCCATGACAATACGCCGAATTTTGCGACAACCTTAAAGAGTCGTTGATGCTTTGTCGGAAACGTGGTTGGGGATTTCGCCTAGAGGAGGTGGATTTTGAGAATGAAATAAAAAAAAATAAAAAGTAGGAAGAGTAAAATGAGAGGGAGGGGTATTTTTGGGGTCAAAATGAGTATAATTAGAATGAGGAAAAAGGGAAAGGCGCGAATGGCGCAGAATTAATAATAATAATGGGGCCTTGGATTACGGTAAGAAATCGGCGCCCAAAGCGTTGAAGTAATCAAAATTAGGGCAAAGGGAGTGGGGGAGTGGGGGATCAATGATATGGAAAGGAATCAAAATTAATTATTTCCCCTTTTCTTTTTTGTTTCTTTTTTCTTTTTTCCTTCACAACAAAGAATTTGATTTTTATTTTCTTCCTTTACTTTCATCACTTATCTTCCTTTTTCTTGCTTTTTCGTTTTTTTAGTATTTCCATGTATTTGAGAGGGTCCCATTATTAGATAATCCATTTTCCAAATTCTATTAGGAGGTTTTTTTTTTCCATATTTTCGAATTAGATGTCTTGAATTGTAGATGTTTGCCATCTTTAGATAACCATGTTTGAAAATATTTGTTACGTTTGTTTTGTAAGATTTGAATAGATCATAAAAATTAAATATTGTTCCAACAATATTCATACCAGTCATCATCTAATTTATATGTCAATTTAAGTAAAATAAATGAAAGATTGCATACTAAATTTCATTTGACAATAAATTAAGATATTACACAGTTAATCAAATTAGTTTATTTTATATCTCAATGTAACATATAAATATAATTGTATATAATCATTTATCAATAAATTAATGCATTAGTTTATTTTTAAAATAAAATATGAATGATAAATAAAGAAAATTGATGAAATATAAATTATATAGAATAAAAATAGGCCTGTTTTTTAAAAGAAGATATTTGCCTCTATAGATGCCTTTGAATGTATATAGTATAACTTGATTGGCTGAGACATTGTTCTGAAACAAACTAGTAAGATATTATAAACTCGATGGAATCCTCCCCTCACCTTTGTTTAACCTTAAAAAATAAAAAGAAGCCAAAACGAGCCTACACATGTTGTACTGAAAAAAATCTTTGGTGCTTAACATAGATTTTTTTTAAATATTATTTTGATCAAAAATATTTTTCAATTTTTATTCATTTTGGTGCTTTTAAAAAGTGATTGATTTCCTCTTTTTATTTTTTATATCATTTTTTCATCGCACGATACCATACTCAATATATTTTTTGAAATATTATTACTTACCTTTATATTAAAAGATAAAAATGGTCACTCTTAAAAGTAAGGATTAAATAAAAAAACGTTTTAAAAGTAGATAGACCAAAATGAACTAAAGTTGAAAAGTACAGAGATCAAAATATTGCATTTTAACTTGATACTTTAAACTAATAGGTCTTTTGTCGGGTGGATCATTTAAGTAATTTTTTCTAGTACAACAAATTAGAGGTATGAGAGTTTGAACTTCCGATCTCAAGAGAAAAAGTAGATACCAATTACCGATGAGTTATGCTCGTGTTTGTGGATCATCTAAAGTGGCTAGAGTTCGGGTATAAAAGGAGACAAATGGAGGGCACGTGTTTTTAGTTGACATAATTAGGGTTAGAGCATGCGAGAGAGACAAATTCACAATTCACAATCTTGGAGAAAGGGGTTACAATGAAGAGAATAATCAGCCAAAAGTTTAAATTTGTCTAAGTAAT